GGGGCCCAGACTTTCGCGTGGGTGCTGCCCCATGGGAGCGACTCACTTTATAAAACCCCTTCTCGAACCCTTCCTTTCTTTCTAGCTCGCCTGACCTGCATGTTCCTGGAGCCTCCCGCAGCCATCGAGTCCCGCCGATCACCGATCAGATCTTGATCACAGACACCCCAAAGGCCGGCTACGATCATCAACATCCACACGCCATGGCTGACAACTTTGCGCCCCGCGTCTTCGGCGACGCCCCTGCCGCCGCCTCTGGCTCCGACAATAAGGACGGCTTCCTGCCGGCCGCCTCTGACAATGACAGCGAAGTCGGTACGTATATACGGCGCGCCGCCACATGCTTGGATTGCTTGTGCCTTCCGTGCTGACAAGATGACTGTGTAGGCCGCATTGAGCAGAAGCGCGAGGCTAAGCGCCAGATTGGCATCATCAGCGCCAGTTTCCTCATCTTCAACCGCATCGTTGGTACTGGTATCTTCGCCACGCCTTCCAGCATTCTGCGCTCCTCTGGTTCCGTCGGTCTGGCCCTCTTCATGTGGGTCGCCGGTATGATCATCGCCTTTGCTGGTACCGCCGTCTACATGGAGTTCGGCACCGCCATTCCCAAGAACGGTGGTGAGAAGAACTACCTCGAGTACGTCTACCGCAAGCCCAAGTTCCTGACCACCGGTCTCTACGCCGGCTACGTCGTCCTCCTCGGTTGGGCCGCCGGTAACTCGGTCGTCTTTGGCGAGTACATCCTGCACGCCGCCAACGTTGAGATCACCCGCTTCAACCAGCGTGGTGTCGGTCTCGCTTGCATCACCACGGCCTTCATCATCCACGGTACCGCCCTCAAGTGGGGTCTGCGCCTGCAGAACCTTCTCGGCTGGATCAAGCTCACCATTGTCTTCCTCATGATCATCGCTGGCTTCATTGCCCTCGGCGGTCACCTCAAGATCGACAATGACTTCAACAACTTCGACAATGCCTTTGAGGGCACCACCGGCAGTGCCTACGGTGTCGTCACCTCCATCTACAACGTCATCTGGTCCTACGTCGGTTACAGCAACGCCAACTACGCCCTCAGCGAGACGAAGAACCCGGTCCGCACCCTGAAGTTTGCTGCTCCCATCGCCATCGGTGCCATCTCGGTTCTTTACATGTTCATCAACATTGCCTACTTCGCTGCCGTTCCCAAGGAGGAGATCCTGACCTCTGGCCGCCTCGTCGCCGCTTCCCTGTTCCGCAACGTTTTTGTGCACCGCCGAGCGCGCCCTCTCCGTCTTCGTTGCCCTTTCCGCCTCTTGGCAACGTCCTCTCCGTCATCTTCTCCCAGGGTCGTCTTGTCCAGGAGCTCGGCCGTGAGGGCATCCTGCCCTTCTCTCGCTTCTGGGCCAGCAACAAGCCCTTCAACGCACCTCTCGCTGGTTTGTTCGAGCACTGGCTCATCTGCATCATCGTCATGCTGGCTCCCCCTCCTGGCGATGCTTACAACTTCCTCCTCAAGTATGTCACTCCTGGTCTTTTCACCTGTTTCTCAACGCTCGCTAACCACGAATAGCCTCATCTCGTACCCTCTTGCCATCATCAACGTCTTCGTCGCCGGCGGTCTCGTTCACCTTTACCTCAACCGCTCCGCTTGGAACTGGAACCCTCCCTTCAGCGCTTCGCTCCCCGTCGTCATCTTCTTCCTGCTCAGCAACATCTACCTCGTCGTTGCTCCCTTCGTCCCTCCCCCTACCCCCGACCAGAACCAGTACAAGAACCTTCCCTACTGGATCCACTGCGTTACTGGTTTCGCCGTCCTCTTCGCTGGTGGCATCTACTGGGCCGTCTGGGCCAAGATCCTGCCCCGCATCGGCAAGTACGAGCTTGTTCGCGAGACCGTCGTCGACGACATCGATGGCTGGGAGCGCAACGTCTTCTTCAAGCGCCCCATCGGCACCACCGCCGCGCTCGAGCAGGAGGCTGCTCAGTCTGGCGTCGCCCACAACAGGGCCTTGTAGGAGATTGATTTTGACATTTGCATTTTGAGTCGAGGATCGAGAGATTTGGGCACGCCTCGTTCGCGGCGTGTCAGGGATGCATCGCCTTGGATACCACATTACATACGCTCTCCACCGGTCCAGCTATTTTTGCTAGACCATGCCAGCGACTAGACTTAATATCCCCTTACAGGGGGCGTTTGCGCAATACTCAATAGACGTGATACCATTTGGGGTACTGCCAATCTTTTGTCTCCCGTCCTGTGAATGTAATTGTCAAATGGCTTGATACCTTCGAAAGCTGCACCGTGTGATACGAGGTCTTTGCCTGAGCTGTATCATGACTCGCATGTATGCACTTTCCTCTGTCGGACGGACGATCCTTTGGCACCTATCTCCTTTGAATCGATCTCACTCGCCAAGTCAGTAGTTGTCAAGAAGCTTGTGACAACCTGACCTGCGGAGCAAAGAGAGCGGTGGAAGAAAACAAATCCGAGGTTGACTCGACTGCATCCAGAGCCTTGCCAAGGTGTGGTTCTCGGTCAGATGTGGGAGCATCGCGAAGCTGAATCATAGGACAGGGGTCGGTATGCGCCATCGTGGGGCGGGTCCAACTAAGGATCTTGCGGGCTGATCTATCATCGAACGGTTGCCGGCATGCTTCCGCGGTCCCTGGGTCACGCCACCCGCTCTATCCGTGATTAGGGCCGTCGTCGACAACATGGGCTGTGCGCCACAACAATAGCTGTGAAAACGCGGTGCTAATCGGAGGATCTGTCTCTGATCGGAAACGTATTGTTGTTAGAACAGTGCTCAAAGGATGCCTATTCAATCCTACGTATACGCCAGGTTGCATATTTCCAAGGGTGCGAAACAATGTGCACAAGGGGTGCTTGGCTTGCATGGTGCTGGCAATCTGCCTAAATGCGGCACGGCATCCTTCGCGACTGGGCACTCTGTTGTTTTCTCTTTGGGTTTCCAAGTCTCTTCCCTCTCTGCGATCCTTGTTCTATGAAGAATTACAAGATATAACATGACAGCTTGGACAACATGCCCTTCAATGGCTCGAATGCTCTTCCAATGAACTGGAAGTTGCGTAACATCCATGTCATCGATGTTGTAGCATCCATGCTGTGCCAAAGAATCATCTGCGCCCGATTAGCGGCCGGATACACACCATGTCCTCTTCGTCACATCTCCGTCACCGATTGCTCCACTCGACCTGGACATCCTCTTTGACCCGTATCCCCCCGTTGAGCCGATTGCCCGACGGTCCAGCGTCGCTCGAGTTCCGTATGGCCTCAGTGCCGAGTATGTGTTCGTTGCTGCTATTGTTGGTCAACGCCCCAATGTCTGTCACAGTCTGGCTGCCAAAACCCAAGCTGGCATTGCTTGCCTCTTTGCTGTCCGTGCTGCCCTCCGCCCTTTGTTTCTTCGAGATCCTACTCATCTTGTAGCTCTTCTTGTCCGTTCCCTCGCCGTACTTGTGATATTGTGCGTTTGACGACGAAGACAGATTGTCACGCTTGAATACGTGTCGGTAAAGGGGTCGCAAGAGCGGAATGCCGATGCAGATCATGGTGACGGATTGCTCGGCGCACGACCATACGATGAGGGGGACTGTGTCCTCTATTGGGTCATCAGTATAATTCCTAAATCGCGAGGAAGTGGCTCCTACCGGTGTAGTTTTCCGTAAACCCAGTTGCCACCTCATACGTTCTGACGATACCTGCAGCACCAGCACTGAGGGGGCATCAATTAGCGAGGCTGGCACAACAGCGATTGTACTAGTAGGGGACTTACATGACACCAAGACCCATACTGACAGCAATGAATACCTTCTCCTTCCTCTTCATCTTCAAATCCCATACGATCAACGTTGGGAAAGCCGCAAAGAAGAAGTCGGAGATGACGCAACAGACTGAAAGCGTTAGACTTGCAACTCGCTGTTGCCGAGATCAGATAACTTACCACCTAGAGTGACGGCCACGGGAGTGATGTCCCAGTCGCACTTGGCCGTTGGGCGTAGCTCCAGGTCGAATATTGCCCTCGGCGGACTGCACTGCAACCAAAACGAGATGACTGTTGCGATCGAGTCGGCGAGAAGGACACCCATGACGGTCCAAATCGCCACCCGATGCCAATGAACCACTGTCAGTCGAAGGAGGAATAACCCGAGCGATATCTTGGACACGGCCATGCCAATGATCGAAAATGACTGCCCGACCATTTCCCACTTGATCGCAGCTGTCGCGTCTTTGATTTCGAGGCCGTAAATCGAACGACCAAATCCGTATCCTTCTGCCACATGAGTAAAGGTTGTGTACAGAACCAGTAAGATCTGAGAACCAATTTCAAATGTCAGCAGCAGCTCATAGCTTCGTGGGTCTCCAGAGCCGGGCTTACCGCCGCTAAAACATAAGTATAGTCGTCGAAGCCGAGCTGGTCAATGATGAAGTACCTCGTCACGAGACGGAGGCACAAGAAGACAAGTGTAATGGCTGTCAGGGTCCACATGACGGCCACGGCGGTCTGTCCTTTCTCACTACCCGCCATGTTTGTGAAAGT